CAGATTTCTGCTGCAGTTTTAGAAAATAAAGATTTGAATATCATGCGTTGTACCACACACATAGTACATGTTTAGTTTAGGTATCAAGCAAGTTCAGTACCTTTTTCCATGTAAAGGTAATCTACTTTCTTACTCACCTGTTGTCATGGAAACTCTTTACTCATTGCAAACATCTGTGGGGCAGCTAGATGGTTCAGAACAGAAACCCTTCTAGTGTGTCTATAGTTTATTGTACTGATGAAGATGATCCTCGATGAGGACTGACATTCTGCTTAGGCCTGGTTGGTTTTCATCAAACATGATTCTATAATTCTGCATATCACCAATACCAGAATCAAAGTATTAAAATCCAGTGGTATAAACAAAATAAATACATGTATTTTCCATGGAAACTTTTAAAAAGGAAAGCTTTGCCCCCGTCCAATTAGTCTGAAGACTGAAAAAGGAGAATGTTCAAAGTGATCTGGGTGCTGTGTGCGTGAGTGTGTGTGGTGCCCTGCATGTCGGTAGTGGGAATAGTTATGAACGTACATTACCTCAGAGTACCGTTGATTCCTGAGTATAGTCGACCAGAGCAGAGGGTGACAATATGTGAATATTTTAGAGATTTACCACCAGTTGAAAATATGCTTTACTGTACATACAGACATAAAAAAAAGGATGTTTCCATGACAACAAACATTGGATGGGGAGAATGCATGCAAATGCATTCCATTGCAAACCTTTGCCAACATTTTACAGTACAGGACAATACATGTACCCTACAGAACAATACATGTACCCTACAGAACAATACATGTACCCTACAGAACAATACATGTACCCTACAGAACAATACATGTACCCTACAGAACAATACATGCACCCTACAGAACAATACATGTACCCTACAGGACAATACATGTACCCTACAGAACAATACATGTACCCTACAGAACAATACATACACCCTACAGAACAATACATGCACCCTACAGAACAATACATGCACCCTACAGAACAATACATGTACCCTACAGGACAATACAGTAAGTCATTCCCTTGTAATCTCTCTCTTTGTCTTAACCTTTTGCATCCTACAGAAAGTATATCTAGCGTAGCTAAGCCTAGCGTAGAATATTATTGGTTCTACAATATTGTATGTCTGATTTACCTTGACACAATAGGACATAATAGGCTCATCCTCCTGTGCATTGCCTTGTTGATCCCACCTAGCCTATGGCTAAAGTCCTTCTCTCTTCTTCTTGTACCTGCCATCACCAGGGGGCGGACTGGACATCTGGCATTTCTGGTCCGCCGCTGCCTGTCACTACACCACGAGGACAATGAAAATAGCCTGAAAAATGCAGCGCCGTGCAGAAATGACTACAATCGATCAGTTTAATGGAGAAAGTCCCTGTTGCACGTTCATGGAAAAGCTAATGGATTTAGATCTGCAGATGCCTAAATTAATATAGGATAGGCATATTGTACTGTACTGTCGTGGGAAAATGAACATGATTCATGAATAATGGTTCAGTACAGAGTAGGAGGAAAACATATCATATTGAATTATTAATAGCTGTGTCCATAGATAATACAATTTCAGACAGTAGAACAGAAGAGACAGACATTAGCAGGAACGATCAGCACTTCAGGGTTATAATCATGTTTGATTCGCAATGGTCTACACCACCAGCAGCATGCTGTGCCTACACACAAGGCCTTCACGTCTATCCTGGGAAAGTGATTAAAAGGAGGCTACACAGCCTCTTCTGGACACTGTCTTTATTAATGTCTGAGGCTACACATCCTCCTCTGGACACTGTCTTTATTAATGTCTAAGGCTATACAGCCTCTTCTGGACACTGTGTCTTTAATTAATTCTGAGGCTACACAGCCTCTTCTGGACACTGTGTTTATTAATGTATGAGGCTTAACGCTATTGGACACTGTCTTTATTAAGTCTTTAAGGCTACACAGCCTTTCTGGACACTTGTCTTAGTATGTCAAGGCTATCAGCCGCTTTGGACACTGTCTTTATTAATGTCTGAGGCTACACATCCTTTTTTTGGACACTGTCTTTAAATGTATAAGGCATTACGCCTCTTCTGACACTTCTGACACGTCTTATTTAATGTACTAAGGTACAGCCTCTTCTGGACACTGTCTTTATTAATGTCTAAGGCTATCACGCTCTTCTGGACACTGTCTTTATTAATGTCTAAGGCTATACAGCCTCTTCTGGACACTGTCTTTATTAATGTCTAAGGCTATACAGCCTCTTCTGGACACTGTCTTTCATTTATTAATGTCTAAGGCTACACGGCCTCTTCTGGACACTGTCTTTATTAATGTCTAAGGCTATACAGCCTCTTCTGGACACTGTCTTTATTAATGTCCCTGAGGCTACACCGGCCCTCTTCCTGGTACACTGTGTTTATTCATGTCTGAGGCTATACAGCCTCTTCTGGACACTGTCTTTATTAATGTCTGAGGCTACACAGCCTCTTCTGGACACTGTCTTTATTAATGTCTAAGGGAAGGGTTAGGGGCCTACAGGGAGGGGTTAGGGGCCTACAGGGAGGGGTTAGGGGCCTACAGGGAGGGGTTTAGGGGGCCCTACATGGAGGGGTTAGGGGCCTAACTGGAGGGGTTAGGGTGAGGGGCCTACAGGGAGGGGTTAAGGGCCTACATGGAGGGGTTAGGGGCCTACAGGGAGGGGTTAGGGGCCTACAGGGAGGGGTTAGGGCCTACATGGAAGGGTTAGGGGCCTACATGGAGGGGTTAGGGGCCTACATGGAGGGGTTAGGGTTAGGGCCTACAGGGAGGGGTTAGGGGCCTACATGGAGGGGTTAGGGGCCTACAGGGAGGGGTTAGGGGCCTACAGGGAGGGGTTAGGGGCCTACATGGAAGGGTTAGGGGCCTACATGGAGGGGTTAGGGGCCTACAGGGAGGGGTTAGGGGCCTACAGGGAAGGGTTAGGGGCCTACATGGAGGGGTTAGGGTTAGGGGCCTACAGGGAGAGGTTAGGGGCCTACATGGAGGGGTTAGGGGCCTACAGGGAGGGGTTAGGGGCCTACATGGAGGGGTTAGGGCCTACAGGGAGGGGTTAGGGTTAGGGGCCTACATGGAGGGGTTAGGGTTAGGGGCCTACATGGAAGGGTTAGGGTTAGGGACCTACATGGAGGGGTTAGGGTTAGGGGCCTACATGGAGGGGTTAGGGGCCTACAGGGAGGGGTTAGGGGCCTACATGGAGGGGTTAGGGGCCTACAGGGAGGGGTTAGGGGCCCTACAGGGAGGGGTTAGGGGCCTACATGGAAGGATTAGGGGCCTACATGGAGGGGTTAGGGGCCTACATGGAAGGGTTAGGGGCCTACATGGAGGGGTTTAGGGCCTACAGGGAGGGGTTAGGGTTTAGGGGGCCTACATGGAGGGGATAGGGGCCTACATGGAGGGGTTAGGGGCCTACATGGAGGGGTTAGGGTTAGGGGCCTACATGGAGGGGTTAGGGGCCTACATGGAGGGGTTAGGGGCCTACATGGAGGGTTTTAGGGGCCTACATGGAGGGTTAGGGGCATACATGGAGGGGTTAGGGGGCCTACATGAGGGGGTTAGGGGCCTACATGGAGGGGTTAGGGGCTTACATGGAGGGGTTAGGGGCCTACAGGGAGGGGTTAGGGTTAGGGGCCTACATGGGGGGGTTAGGGGCCTACATGGAAGGGTTAGGGGCCTACATGGAGGGGTTAGGGTTAGGGGCCTACATGGAGGGGTTAGGGGCCTACATGGTGGGGTTAGGGGCCTACATGGAGGGGTTAGGGGCCTACATGGAAGGGTTAAGGGCCTACAGGGAAGGGTTAGGTGCCTACAGGGAAGCATCATGCTTGGGTGAATGCCTTGCACTGACAATGACTGAATCTCTAACCACCCGACTGTGACTGACTGACTTAGTTATAGGATCTAATATTTATATTGGGACAATTTACCATTTTGAGAAACATCTAACATGGTCCAAGCACACCAAGACAGCCGTGAAGAGGGCATGACAAAACCTATTCCCCCTAAGGAGACTGAAAAGATTTGGCATGGGTTCTCAGATCCTCAAAAGGTTCTACATCTGCACCATTGAGAGCATCCTGACTGGTTGCATCACTGCCTGGTTTGGCAACTGCTCAGCCTCCGACCGCAATGCACTACAGAGAGTAGTGCGTACGGCCCAGTACATCACTGGGGCCAAGCTTCCTGCCATCCAGGACCTCTATACCAGGCGGTGTCAGAGGAAGGCCCTAAAAATTGTCAAAGACTTCAGCCACCCTAGTCATAGACTGTTCTCTCTGCTACCGCACAGCAAGCGGTACCGGAGCGCCAAGTCTAGGTCCAAGAGGCTTCTAAACAGCTTCTACCCCCAAGCCATAAGACTCCTGAACATCTAATCAAATGGCTACCCAGACTATTTGCATTGCCCCCCCACCCCTCTTTTACGCTGCTGCTACTCTGTTTATTATTTATGCATAGTAACTTTAACTCTACCCACATGTACATATTACCTCAATTACCTTGACTAACCGGTGCCCCCGCACATTGACTCGGTACCGGTACCCCCTGTATATAGCCTCGCTATTGTTATTTTTACTGCTGCTCTTTAATTATTTGTTACTTTTATTTTGTATTATTTTATACTGTCTTTTTTTGTGATTTCTTTTGGTAGTCTTTCTTAAAACTACATTGTTAGTTAAGGGCTTGTAAGTAAGCATTTCACTGTAAGGTGAATGTGGCAAATACAATTTGATTTGATCACAATTGGCAAATGTTCATGTATTTATAATATATCTACTCACATTAGAAATGAGCTGCAATGCTCCCAGATTGCAATCACTTTATGCTACCATATTTCCTTAGAGTGCGGAGTGACCGCTCAGTGGACAGTAGCCTAATATTCTAATGCATATTATTTGTCCAGTACTTGTTGTGAATGCGCCCTCTAGTGGGCTACTGCACATGACGTCACACGTTTCCTATCACATGACAGCCTAGAGAAAAAGAAAACAGGAAATATTTTAGCCAGCCCTTTCTCTTGGTAAGTTTTACACCAAATACAGTGTGTATACATTTTGATCACACTATTACCAACAGTGACTTATAAAATAGTAAATTACACTACAACTCATCTTATTTTTGTTGTTGTTGAAAACCTTGCAATTGTGGCAGTGGCTCGCCACTTTTCTAACCAAGCTATCTATCTAGGTACTCTTGTATAGCCAGCAATGGAGTTGTGCAAGCAGCCTGTCCAGGCAGTAAAGCAACCCCCTCGTATAGCAATGCAATTTGAAAAAGTAAATGAATAGTTATTATGCTTTTGTAGCCTCTCTCTATTAGCTGCAATGTTTATGAGTTTACTTGAACATGAGCGTGTAACCCAATCACCGTTGTGTGTCATGTTGCATCGACAGGGGGAGAGAAAGATGGGGTCAGCTGTCGAGAGGACGGATGAACATGTCCGAGAATACTTGATATATCGCGGCTTCACCAGCGCACGGAAGCACCTAGACTCGGATATCAAAGCAGACAAGGACAAAGGTTTCCGGGTATGAAAGAACAGTGCATTAAAGGCAAAAACTGTGATGATGATGCATTTTTTCCATCATTTGATTAATGTGGTACATGTATGTGTACTTCTCTCTTTTTTGTTGTTGTTGTGGCTGGGTTCGTATCCCAAGTAAAGCCTGTATGTTCTCACAGAAACAGTTCTTATTGTTTTGCTGAACTGTCCTTTTAGGTGGACAAGATCATTGACCAGCTTCAGCTGTTCATCCATAACTTTGACCTGAATGGCCTGAAGGACTACTGGGGATATCTGGACCGGAGACTGTTCTGTAGGCTAGAAGACGTCTACAGACCCACAGTCTCCAAGCTACGGATCAGTCTCTTCAGATACTACGTTGTTTACACTGTACAGGTGCATTTAGACTTCTGTTGTTGTTGTTGTCCTTTTTATATTGTTAATCAGACATATTATGTGTGAATGTGGATATCCCAATGTTGTTGACTGATTAATGATATACAGCATAGCCTCTCTCTCTCTCTCCCTCCCTCCCAGTTAAAGAACCAAGAGAAGACCCAGGAGTTTTTCCAGCGTCAGGCTCAGGAGCTGCAGGGCCAGTCGGAGTGGCGTGATTGGTTCATCCTGCCGTTTATCCCCGCCCCCGAGCAGAACCCCGTCTTCTCGCCGTACTTCTCCCGTCAGTGGTCTGACACCTTCTTGGTCTCACTGCACAACTTCCTCTCTGTGCTGTTCCAGTGCATGCATATCTTTTTGTTCTGGGCAAGACTATAGACACACTACGGGGGTGTATTCATTACACAGATTCTGTTGCAAAATCTTTCTTGAATGTTTTGCAACTATTTTGGACTAATGATTACACCCCTGATACACTTCAGAAACACTAGGTCACAAGGTCGTATTCATTAAGCACCTAACGTATTAAAACGGACAAACAGGGTGGGACTTCATGGGCTACCTGGAAACACTAATGTACATGTTTTGTTGCACAATGTTTTAAACCGTTTTCTGTTGTGTGCCCTAATGAATATGAACTAGAGCAGTGTTTCCCAACCCTGGTCCTCGAGTACCCCCAAAGGTACACATTTTTTGTTGTAGCCCTGGACAAACACACCTCATTCAGCTCTTTGAGGGCTTGATGATTAGTTGACAAGTTGAATGAGGTGTGCTTGTCCAGGGTTACAATAAAAATGTGTACTGTTGGGGGTACTGGAGGACTGGAGTTGGTAAACACTGAACTAGAGGAATACCTGGTCAATAAGCAACGACATTTCCAACCTAGCTCTGCGCCTCAGTTTGTGTCAACATAATACCATAGGCACTATGCTGACAATAGAACTACTAGTAATAGGAACATGTAATAGTTTCAAAACAAGAAAATAAAGCAAATGGCAACTAAACAATGTCCATGGAAATACAGCCTATGTGCATACTGGTGTTTCCTCGTGGTTCCTTCAACCTATGTGCATACTGGTGTTTCCTCGTGGATCCTTCAACCTATGTGCATACTGGCGTTTCCTAGTGGTTCCTTCAGCCTATGTGCATACTGGTGTTTCCTAGTGGTTCCTTCAGCCTATGTGCATACTGGTGTTTCCTAGTGGTTCCTTCAACCTATGTGCATACTGCCGTTTCCTAGTGGTTCCTTCAGCCTATGTGCATACTGGCGTTTCCTAGTGGATCCTTCAACCTATGTGCATACTGGTGTTTCCTCGTGGTTCCTTGACAGCTAACCACCCCAGCCTGCGCTCCTCAGCTTTGACTCTGAAGTCCAGAGGACCACTGGTCTACAGGAGGAGAATGATCAGCTCAGACACGTGGTAAGTTTGTCTCACACACAAACACACTGTCTTTCAGTCACCACCTAGGAAAGACGTGGTGTCTTCTCTTCTCCACAGGTTGTTGCTGTAAAATAGTATAGTTCTCAGCTTAATGTCATTATCAGGGTTGCTACGGCCCCCCATGAGGAAGTATCGAAAGGTTTAAGGATGGCAGCTAACGTTCTCTCTCTCTTCTCATCTTTCTCTCTGTCTCTGTCTCTCTCTGCCCATCTCTGCCTCCAGCTATTTTCCCTGCAGGGAGAGGCTAAACCAAAGAAGGAGGAAGAGATGCTGCATCACAAACTCCCCCCCTACGTACAAAACATGGACCGACTTGGAGACACTGAGCTGTGAGGACTGACTTTGACATTGGATTGATCCACTTTTGGGTCGAGGGGGGGGTTTTGGTGAAAGTTTTAATAATGATTGTACAACATAGTTATTAGGGGTTCAAGCCAGCGAAGCTGGGTGAAACCTTATTGTATTTGTTGGCGTTCATTATTATTATTATTTGGGTTCTTCCATACATTTTGTTAAAACCAAGATGGTAAAGGGCCAAGGGCCACACCCTCTCATGTGATGCCATGCCAATTGGCCACATGGTGGCGCTATAACAAGCGATTGAAAATGCAAACTTTGAAAGGTCATGCCCCTCACCCCGTGTGAGCTAGAGTCATTACATTTTCTTCATAGGTCCCTCTCCTCACAAGGAACACATTTGCCTCAAGGACACTTAAGGTCCGCCATGATGAATTTTCCTCCATTTTGAATTTTGTGAAAAACACTTAAAACGCTACTCCTCTAGCACCGAATGACCGATCTGCACAAAACTTGATAGATGGCATCTATGGCCAAGCTCTCACCAATTATGTTTTTCCAATAAACATTCACGTGGGTGTGGTCTGCATATAACTCCGACATGAATATTCGTATTGTAACAAAACTTGAGTACACGTGTTCCAAACACTGTCAAGACTCAACACATCTAAGCACATTCAGACCGACCACACGGTGGCGCTATAACCGGCACATGTTTATATCTCTTGATTTGTTTGAAATTTGGCGCACCTGCTCAGGGATACGAGTCTAGCTAAGCTGTGAAGTATGGTTCCGTTTGGCCGCATTGTGGCACTGTTGGACAGGGAAAATCATTCATGCATGCTCATTGGCTCATAGAGGCCATATTGTTTGAACAAGAGCCTGGGAAAATATTGTGTTTGAAGATGTGAATCGATAGATAGCTGGATATCAAATTTGGTGCCGATCGTGCCAGCGGTTCTGTAGAAGAAGACGTTTGAAAGTCGTCAACGTAATAAAAAATGGTCAAATACATTAAAAGCGTATTGCATGATCTGTTTGATTTGAAGTTCTGATCATTAGCAAGCGTGGGTAGAAGTACAAAAGTAGCTCATCCTGGGGCAATGTTTCCAACTTGACCGGATGGTGGCAAAGTTGGCCCACAGCTTGAACCCCGGCATTGCTGCTTGCAGCTATACTGTAGTTTTGTGTTTCTCTCCACTCCATATGATACTGTAGATGGACTATCACTACATGGACTATTTAACTAACTTATTGTTAATGTTAATATCATATTTATACTGTTTTAACTTGTGTTTTTATGTTTTAGGACGATGAATAAACTATTAATCATGATTGATTTGTTCAGTTGTTCTGTCTTTTATTATTATTATTATATATATATATTTTTATTAATATTATTATATATATATATATTATTATTAAAAAAAAAATTGCTTTAAAAAAAATGTTTTATTTGGGGTAGATCAGCTTAATATTGCAGATAGATTGTAACTTCCATCAATGTAATTGTCTACATCACTTCCAATCCCCCATGTTTTTTATATATATACTCCCCTTTATTACTTTTCAACCCCGCCATCCTTTCCCTACTTGGGGTAAATTAGTGAACAACAATGCCCAGGCCTCTACTTCCAGCCTATACTTACTATCTACACCTTATGGACACAGTCAATTTTACAATAATTATATTTTATTTGTTTTTGCTCCTGAACTACTTCTACTCTCAACCTCTCCGATCATTTTCAATAAACAATTAATCATGATTTGATTTGTTCAGTTGTTCTGTCTTAATTTGCCCGAGGCAGGGATGCACAGCTCCTTCAAGGAGGTCTGCGTCCCAATTCTCCACACTTTTCCCCAAGTGTGCGCTCACACACTTCCCGTCAGCCCAACGCTTACACCAATCCAATGCTTTTAAATCCATGACAGGGAGTGTGCAAGTGGAGAATTGGGACGGGGTCGGCGTCTGCTTTAGTGGAGCTCTGGTCATGGGATTGAGCCGTGCGCTCCTGGGTTTGACCTTGGTTTGATTTGAGGACACATTACCGCACACAGAATAACCACAACACAGTTGTCTGAGGACATTTCAAGCTAATCTGAGAATTTGATTTGTTACATCCTGCAAACGTAGGACACACCTACACCATTTGTAAGAGACTCATTGCAAACTAAATATGAAGGGTCTTCAGATAAAGAATCCAATATCTTTTTAATTGAGCGTTCCTCCACCACATTCTCAGTGAGCGTTCCTCCACCACATTCTCACTGAGCGTTCCTCCACCACATTCTCAGTGAGCGTTCCTCCACCACATTCTCATTGAGCGTTCCTCCACCACATTCTCATTGAGCGTTCCTCCACCACATTATCACTGAGCGTTCCTCCACCACATTCTCATTGAGCGTTCCTCCACCACATTCTCATTGAGCGTTCCTCCACCACATTTTCTTTGAGCGTTCCTCCACCACATTCTCATTGAGCGTTCCTCCACCACATTATCATTGAGCGTTCCTCCACCACATTCTCATTGAGCGTTCCTCCACCACATTCTCATTGAGCGTTCCTCCACCACATTCTCATTGAGCGTTCCTCCACCACATTCCCAGTGAGCGTTCCTCCACCACATTCTCATTGAGCGTTCCTCCACCACATTCTAAATGAGCGTTCCTCCACCACATTCTCATTGAGCGTTCCTCCACCACATTCTCATTGAGCGTTCCTCCACCACATTCTCATTGAGCGTTCCTCCACCACATTCTTATTGAGCGTTCCTCCACCACATTCTCATTGAGCGTTCCTCCACCACATTCTCATTGAGCGTTCCTCCACCACATTCTTATTGAGCGTTCCTCCACCACATTCTCATTGAGCATTCCTCCACCACATTCTCATTGAGCGTTCCTCCACCACATTCTCATTGAGCGTTCCTCCACCACATTCTCACTGAGCGTTCCTCCACCACATTCTCACTGAGCGTTCCTCCACCACATTCTTAGAGCATGTTTACTATTAGCACACAACATCACATGGTCTCAGAGAGATAATGGAGTTATCCTCATGAGTGAGTGGGCTTGCACACAGAAGAATAGCCTCAGTGTGGTGGTGTTGTGAGGAGATACAGTAGCATGACTTTACCTAAAACAGCTAAGCTATGTTCCATATTTTCACTGGGGTTCAGCAGGCACTGAAACCAAGGAGCAAAGACCAAGGAGAGTGTCTTCATTTAAAACAATACAATATGTTTTTCTCCATACAGAGACCTGGTGACGAGCCAGCGTAATGCCGCCCTCACCACCACCCCCTCCAGGAATTGATTCTCTACAGGCCAGACGGCCACCTGGCAAGACGCCTCAAGGAGCACTTCCTGGGTACTCTCCAACACAGGCCTCTCTAGGACGCAAGGACACCACACCCAATCAAGTGAGACCATATGTTCCTCAGGAAATTAGGACGTTTTAGGAAGCGCTTGTTTTTCTGGGTATTGGGCGCATCCCCTGAGACTGAGTTTGTATCCCAAATGAGGATATCCCAAAGGGCTCTGGTCAAAAGTAGTGCACTGCCTTTTGGGACAGCCTGAGAGTCTGTGTTTTCAGGGGCTACATGTTTTTTGGGAAAATTCCTCAACTTTCATTACAGTTATAGATAACTGTTACTCAACTTTCACTACAGTTATAGATAACTGTTATTCTACTCAACCTTCACTACAGTTTTAGATAACTGTTACTCTACTCAACTTTCACTACAGTTTTAGATAAATGTTACTTTACTCAAGTGGCTTTAAACTTATCCCTTACCTGCTCTGTTTTCACAAATGATTTCACAACAAGCATATATAAAACTAATTTTCTTAAAAGACAATCTAAGATATCTATACAGTGCCTTCGCAAAGTATTCAGACCCCTTGACTTTTTCCACATTTTGTTTCGTTACAGCCTTATTCTAAAATGGATTCAATAGTTTTTTTCTCCCTCATCAATCTACACACAATACCCCATAATGACAAAGCAAAAACAGGTTTTTAGAAATGCCTGCTAATTTATATATAAATATCACATTTACATAAGTATTCAGACCCTTTACTAAGTACTTTGTTGAAGCCTCCAAAGACCCCAAAGACCCAGTACCAGCCTCCAAAGACCGCAAGGACCCAGTACCAGCCTCCAAAGACCGCAAGGACCCAGTACCAGCCTCCAAAGACCGCAAGGACCCAGTACCAGCCTCCAAGGACCCAGTACCAGCCTCCAAAGACCCCAAAGACCCAGTACCAGCCTCCAAAGACCCAGTACCAGCCTCCAAGGACCCCAAAGACCCAGTACCAGCCTCCAAGGACTCCAAGGACCCAGTACCAGCCTCCAAGGACTCCAAGGACCCAGTACCAGCCTCCAAGGACCAGGTACCAGCCTCCAAAGACCCAGTACCAGCCTCCAAGGACCCCAAGGACCCAGTACCAGCCTCCAAGGACCCCAAGGACCCGGTACCAGCCTCCAAGGACCCCACGGACCCAGTACCAGCCTCCAAGGACCCAGTACCAGCCTCCAAGGACCCAGTACCAGCCTCCAAGGACCCAGTACCAGCCTCCAATGACTCCAAGGACCCAGTACCAGCCTCCAAGGACCCCAAGGACCCAGTACCAGCCTCCAAGGACCCCAAGGACCCAGTACCAGCCTCCAAGGACCCAGTACCAGCCTCCAAGGACCCAGTACCAGCCTCCAAGGACCCAGTACCAGCCTCCAATGACCCAGTACCAGCCTCCAAGGACCCCAAGGACCCAGTACCAGCCTCCAAGGACCCAGTACCAGCCTCCAAGGACCCAGTACCAGCCTCCAAGGACCCCAAGGACCCAGTACCAGCCTCCAAAGACCCCAAGGATCCAGTACCAGCCTCCAAGGACTCCAAGGACCCAGTACCAGCCTCCAAGGACTCCAAGGACCCAGTACCAGCCTCCAAAGACCAGGTACCAGCCTCCAAAGACCCAGTACCAGCCTCCAAGGACCCCAAGGACCCAGTACCAGCCTCCAAGGACCCCAAGGACCCAGTACCAGACTCCAAAGACCCAGTACCAGCCTCCAAGGACCCCAAGGACCCAGTACCAGCCTCCAAAGACCCAGTACCAGCCTCCAAGGACCCCAAGGACCCAGTACCAGCCTCCAAGGACCCCAAGGACCCGGTACCAGCCTCCAAGGACCCCACGGACCCAGTACCAGCCTCCAAGGACCAGGTACCAGCCTCCAAGGACCCAGTACCAGCCTCCAAGGACTCCAAGGACCCAGTACCAGACTCCAAGGACCCCAAGGACCCAGTACCAGACTCCAAGGACCCCAAGCCGGTGTCTAGCGCTGGGGGAACCAGTGAGAAGGCTGGGTCCACCTCCCACTCCAGACAGAGACGATACCAGGACCACGAGAAGGAGAGGAAGGAGCTGTTCTCCAAAGCTCAAACTCAGGTTTCACCTCCCTACTGTGTTACTAAAGGATGTGGTGGACTACACACTGTACATGGTCTCAGACCTTCTGTAGCACATCTCATGGGTTGTGTGGAGGGTTTCCAGACACTATTAGTGCAAGGCTAAATCAAATGTGTATTAGTGCAAGGCTAAATCAAATGTGTATTAGTGCAAGGCTAAATCAAATGTGTATTACTGCAAGGCTAAATCAAATGTGTATTAGTGCAAGGCTAAATCAAATGTATATTATTGTAAGGCTAAATCAAATGTGTATTTTTTGCATGTAATAAAGCACTCGGTAGCAGCATTATACTGTATACAGTCAGGTCAAACATTATTGGCACCCTTGATAAAGATCAGCAAAAAATACTTCATAAAATAAATAATACAAATACTGAGCTGTATTGTATTCTCCCAAAAATTGGGAAATTATATTATTTTATTCTAATACAATTGCTCAGAGAAATATATTTTGTTTAACAGGTGATACTTTTTTTTTCTCAAAACGATAGGGGTCAAAATTATTGGCACCCCTGTTTTCAATACCTCACCTTGTGAGGATAACGGCACTGAGTCTTTTTCTAGAATGTTTTATGAGTTGGAGAACACTCTGGAAGGAATCTTAGACCTTTCCTCCATACAGAATCCTTCAAATCCTTGATATCCTTCGTCTGCCCACTGGGCAAACACTTGTTGAATCAACGTTGTTTCTACATACTGTAATTTCAATAAAACTAAGTTGAACCAACGTGGAATAAACGTTGAATTGACATCTGTGCCCAGTGGGTGCCCTCTTAAATTCAAACTACCATTGCAAAATGTAGATTTTTTTGTGGTCAATTAACCATTTTCATGTGCTTGGGGTTATTGTCTTACTGGAAGATCGACTTGCGGCCAGGTTTATGCCTCTTGGCAGAGGCAAACATGTTTTTTGCTAAAGTGTCCTGATACTGGGTAAAGTTCATGATGCTGTTGACCTTAACAAGGGCCCCAGCACCAGTTGAAGCAAAATAGCTCAATAACATCAAAGATCCACCAGAGTATTTTACAGTAAGTATGGGGTTATTTACTTTTTTGCCAAGAGGCATAAACTTGGCCGCAAGTAGATCTTCCAGCAAGACAAGGATCTTCCATCAAAATCCACAAGGAAATCGTTAATTGACCACAAAATCAACATTTTGCAATGGCCATCTCAGTCTCTGGACTTAAACCCTGTTGAAAACCTGTGGTTTGGGTTTGAATTGCTGATAAGAGCAGACAAAGGATATCAAGGATCTGAAGGATTCTGTATGGAGGAAAGGTCTAAGATTCCTTCCAGAGTGTTCTCCAACTCATAAAACATTCTAGAAAAAGACTCAGTGCCGTTATCCTCACAAGGTGAGGTATTGAAAACAGGGGTGCCAATAATTTTGACCCCTATCGTTTTGAGAAAAAAAGTTTTACTTGTTCAACAAAATCTCTTTCTCTGAGCAATTGTATTAGTATAAAATAATATAATTTGTACAAAATTGGAGCATACAACATAGCTCCGTATTTGTATTGTTTAATTTTTTACTCATCTTTATCAAGGGTGCCAATAATTTTGGACCTGGCTGTATATTGTGTGCAGACCTATTCTTTCTGTATTACGTATTTTTGCCCTGCACCAGTTTTCGAAACTTGGGAGAGGATGTGCATGTCACCTTCTCATGCTTTCTTGCAGTTGCCTGAGGAAAGTGGGGACCCAGAGCCCCATCCTGAGGGGGGGCCTGACAGAGCCTTCTTCCCCCAGCCAGACACTGGTCAGCGGGGAGGGTGTTGGGAGTACAGGGGGGCTGGGGGTAGGACAGCACTAACTACTTCCTTTGTCTTCTCTATCTTTTTGGGACACAAGGCCACTATGACACTCCCTCCACTTCTTCCTGTCCTTGATAATAATAATAATATGCCATTTAGCAGACGCTTTTATCCACATTTTTACGTATGGGTGGTCCCGGGGATCGAACCCACTACCCTGGCGTTACAAGCGCCATGCTCTACCAATTGAGCTACAGAGGACCACATGTTGTGCCTCGCTCCAAGAAAATATCATTTTGTCCAGCACCAGTTGGAGTTGAACTCATTAGCTATCTACAGTAGCTCTTGTAATCATTCTAAACACTAGCATGGAAATGGAGATACACTTCATGTCCAGCTCCATCATGTATATCCACCTCTCTGTCCGGTCCCAGGGTGGACTGCTCAGAGAGGAGAGTAGCCAGTTTGGACGTGGACTGGGTCATCAAGGTGTGGTCCTTCAACCACATCATGCAGACCAAGGCCACCATCATGTCCAAGTCCCCTCTGCTGTCTCTGGAGTGGGTCACCAAGCCTGACAGACTGGTATGACCTTTGACCTCAACACAGCTTCTCTAACCCTAACCCTCCCTCTGCTGTCTCTGGAGTGGGTCACCAAGCCTGACAGACTGGTATGACCTTTGACCTCAACACAGCTTCTCTAACCCTAACCCTCCCTCTGCTGTCTCTGTAGTGGGTCACCAAGCCTGACAGACTGGTATGACCTCTGACCTCTGACCTCAACACAGCTTCCCTAACCCTAACCCTCCCTCTGCTGTCCCTGGAGTGGGCCACCAAGCCTGACAGACTGGTATGACCTCTGACCTCAACACAGCTTCCCTAACCCTAACCCTCCCTCTGCTGTTCCTGAAGTGGGCCACAGACAGTAAGACATTTGGCCTAGCTTCTCAGGGTCTTGACTAGTGTTCATAAGGGCATGAAGTGGAAAAACGTTGTAAAATGTTTCGCAACCGAAAATGAAAATGACAGTTTCTTATTGGCGAAGTTCAGGTAGTCCCTCCCTGTTTCAGTCTGTTTTCTTCCATTGGGTGCCTAATGAACACAGCCCAGGGCTGAGGTAGTTCTGTGAGTGTTTCAGCGGTGGAGAACGGGGAACCCCATCAGTAATACTGTCTTTGGTCTTGTGTCCTTATAGCTGTTAGTGGGCAGTGGTGTGGGTACAGTGAGGCTGTACGACACTGACGCCAAGAAGAACCTTTATGAGATGGCCATAGATGATACCCGTCCACGGTAAACTGAGTCCCATCAGGGTGATCTTATCCACGGTAAACTGAGTCCTAGCAGGGTGATCTTGGTATGGTAAACTGAGTCCTATCAGGGAGATCTTATCCATGGTAAACTGAGTCCTATCAGGGAGATCTTATCCATGGTAAACTGAGTCCTATCAGGGAGATCTTATCCATGGTAAACTGAGTCCTATCAGGGTGATCTTATCCATGGTAAACTGAGTCCTATCAGGGTGATCTTATCCATGGTAAACTGAGTCCTATCGGGGAGATCTTGGTATGGTAAACTGGGTCCTATCAGGGAGATCTTGGTATGGTAAACTGAGTCCTATCAGGGAGATCTTGGTAAGGGGGGAACAACAATAGAAGTCTTCATGCATCAGGCCTTTATCAGATGTTCCTACTAGCTCTGACTTTGCTGATAACTACTTTGTTGAGGGAATATGTACTTGATACGATTGTGATATGTTGTCTCACCTAGCTATCTTAGGATGAATGTACTAATGTAAGTCACTCTGGATCATTTAGCGTCTGCTAAATGACTAAAATGTTGTTTTTTTTTGTTATGTATAAAGACTTCTGATAATGGAAGGCAGTATGTCAGATGTCATACTCACTGATCTGTCTGGTGTCTCCTGTCCTGTTGCTGTGTGGTGTTGTGTAGGATCCTGTCCTGTTGCTGTGTGGTGTTGTGTAGGATCCTGTCCTGTTGCTGTGTGGTGTTGTGTAGGATCCTGTCCTGTTGCTGTGTGGTGTTGTGTAGGATCCTGTCCTGTTGCTGTGTGGTGTTGTGTAGGATCCTGTCCTGTTGCTGTGTGGTGTTGTGTAGGATCCTGTCCTGTTGCTGTGTGGTGTTGTGTAGGATCCTGTCCTGTTGCTGTGTGGTGTTGTGTAGGATCCTGTCCTGTTGCTGTGTGGTGTTGTGTAGGATCCTGTCCTGTTGCTGTGTTGTGTTGTGTAGGATCCTGTCCTGTTGCTGTGTGGTGTTGTGTAGGATCCTGTCCTGTTGCTGTGTGGTGTTGTGTAGGATCCTGTCCTGTTGCTGTGTGGTGTTGTGTAGGATCCTGTCCTGTTGCTGTGTGGTGTTGTGTAGGATCCTGTCCCTGGCCTGTAGCCCCAGTGGGACGTCCTTTGTGTTTTTCTGCAGCACCACACGCTGGACCTGGGCGCTCTGGCAGTGTAACAGAGACAGTACCAGTTTGTCCCAATCCCCTCCCTGTCTCTGGACAGCTGCTGCTGTGGGACACCAAGACTGTCAAACAGCAGGTACTGTTGTAGTAAACACGTCACCCAAACATGTGTACTATGTCACCCAAACACGTGTACTGTCACCCAAACATGCGTATAGTCACCCAAATCCTTTTTTGTTGAGGAGTAAATATCAATTTTTAATTTAAATGTTTACCTGTTTTGTTCGCAGTTATTGAGAGTTGCATGAGGTAACCTGATAGTATTTATTAGAACAGTAACTTCACTTTTGCTTCAACATTGTGAACTGTATCACAATTAGACCCTACCCGTCAGTATTATAGACAGGCTTAGACCCTACCCGTCAGTATTATAGACAGACTTAGACCCTACCCGTCGATATTATAGACAGGCTTAGACCCTACCCGTTAGTATTATAGACAGGCTTAGACCCTACCCGTCAGTATTATAGACAGGCTTAGACCCTACCCGTTAGTATTATAGACAGGCTTAGACCCTACCCGTCAGTATTATAGACAGGCTTAGACCCTACCCGTTAGTATTATAGACAGACTTAGACCCTACCCGTTAGTATTATAGACAGACTTAGACCCTACCCGTTAGTATTATAGACAGACTTAGACCCTACCCGTTAGTATTATAGACAGACTTAGACCCTACCCGTTAGTATTATAGACAGGCTTAGACCCTACCCGTTAGTATTATAGACAGACTTAGACCCTACCCGTTAGTATTATAGACAGACTTAGACCCTACCCATCGATACTATAGACAGGCTTAGACCCTACCCGTTAGTATTATAGACAGACTTAGACCCTACCCGTTAGTATTATAGACAGACTTAGACCCTACCCATCGATACTATAGACAGGCTTAGACCCTACCCGTTAGTATTATAGACAGGCTTAGACCCTACCCGTTAGTATTATAGACAGGCTTAGACCCTACCCATCGATACTATAGACAGGCTTAGACCCTACCCGTTAGTATTATAGACAGGCTTAGACCCTACCCATCGATACTATAGACAGGCTTAGACCCTACCCGTTAGTATTATAGACAGGCTTAGACCCTACCCGTTAGTATTATAGACAGACTTAGACCCTACCCGTTAGTATTATAGACAGACTTAGACCCTACCCGTTAGTATTATAGACAGACTTAGACCCTACCCGTTAGTATTATAGACAGACTTAGACCCTACCCGTCGATACTATAGACAGACTTAGACCCTACCCGTTAGTATTATAGACAGGCTTAGACCCTACCCGTTAGTATTATAGACAGACTTAGACCCTACCCATCGATATTATAGACAGACTTAGACCCTACCCGTCGATATTATAGACAGGCTTAGACCCTACCCGTTAGTATTATAGACAGACTTAGACCCTACCCGTTAGTATTATAGACAGACTTAGACCCTACCCATCGATACTATAGACAGGCTTAGACCCTACCCGTTAGTATTATAGACAGACTTAGACCCTACCCATCGATACTATAGACAGACTTAGACCCTACCCGTTAGTATTATAGACAGACTTAGACCCTACCCGTTAGTATTATAGACAGGCTTAGACCCTACCCGTTGATACTATAGACAGGCTTAGACCCTACCCATCGATACTATAGACAGGCTTAGACCCTACCCGTTAGTATTATAGACAGACTTAGACCCTACCCGTTAGTATTATAGACAGGCTTAGACCCTACCCGTTAGTATTATAGACAGACTTAGACCCTACCCGTTAGTATTATAGACAGGCTTAGACCCTACCCGTCGATACTATAGACAGACTTAGACCCTACCCGTTAGTATTATAGACAGACTTAGACCCTACCCATCGATACTATAGACAGGCTTAGACCCTACCCGTTAGTATTATAGACAGGCTTAGACCCTACCCGTCGATATTATAGACAGGCTTAGCTCTTACGCATACCGTTTACTGTGGTCAATATAGATGTTTGCGCTATTGGTGTAAAATGAATTTATGGTATGGTAACGCTTCCTATGAATATAAATATCCCATTATGTATGATATAGGCACTAATAACCGGATCTCATATTTGACATAGCTGTATGCATTGAATTGTTTTAAGAAGAGGCTGTGAACATAGAAATATAATAATGTGATAAGATAATAATAGAATGTGATAATGCCCTTCATTGACATTCTATTATGTTTACATCTCTCTCTATTCTTCAGACAAAACTAGGGCCTGTAGGACCTGCCTTGTTGATAGTGTTGCTAAAAAGGCAGAGCAGCGCTTTATCATGGACAGACTTCTCCCCATCTTAGCTACTGTTGTATCAATATGTTTTGACCATGACAGTTTACAATCCAGGGTTACTCCAAGCAGTTTAGTCACCTCAACCTGCTCAATTTCCACATAATTTATTACAAGATTCAGTTGAGGTTTATGGTTTAGTGAATGATTTGTCCCGAATACAATGCTTTTAGTTTTTGAAATATTTAAGACTAACTTATTCCTTGCCACCCATTCTGAAACTAACTGCAGCTCTTTGTTAAGTGTTGCAGTGATTTCACTCGCTGTAGTAGCTGACGTGTATAGTGTTGAGTCATCTGCATACACAGACACGCTGGCTTTACTCAAGGCCAGTGGCATGTCATTAGAAAATATTGAAAAAAGTAAGGGGCCTAGACAGCTGCCCTGGGGAATTCCTGATTCTACCTGGATTTGGTTGGAGAGGCTTCCATTAAGGATCACCATCTGTTCTGTTAGACAGGTAACTTTTTATCTACAATATAGCAGAAGGGTGTAAAGCCATAACACATACGTTTTTCCATCAGCATACTATGATCGATAATGTCAATAGCCGCACTGAAATCTAACAAAATAGCTCCCACAATCCTTTTATCATCAATTTCTCTCAACCAATCATCAGTCATTTGTGTAAGTACTGTGCTTGTTGAATGTCCTTCCCTCTAAGCGTGCTAAAAGTCTGTTGTCAATTTGTTTACAGTAAAATAGCATTGTATCTGGCGAAACACAATTTTTTCCAAAAGTTTACTAAGGGTTGGTAACAGGCTATTTGAGCCAGTTAAGGGTTCTATACTATTCTTGGGTAGCAGAATTACTTTTGCTTCCCTCCATGCCTGAGGTCACACACTTTCCAGTAGGCTTAGATTGAAGATATGGCAAATAGGATTTGCAATATCGTCCGCTATTTTCCGAATTTTCCATCCAAGTTGTCAGACCCCGGTGGCTTGTCATTGTTGATAGACAACAATTATTTTTTCACTTCTTCCACACTCACTTTACGGAATTCAAAATGACAATGCTTGTCTTTCATAATTTGATCAGTTATACTTGGATGTGTAGTGTCAGCATTTGTTGCTGGCATGTCATGCCTAAGTTTGCTAATCTTACCAATGAAAAAATCATTAAAGTAATTGGAAATATCGGTGGGTTTTGTGATGAATTCACAAAGTTGATTCAATGAGTGATGGAGCTGAGTTTGCCTTTTTGCCCAACATTTCATTTAAGGTGCTCCAAAGCTTTTTACTATCATTCTTTGTCATTTATCTTTGTTTCATATTGTAGTTTCTTCTTCTTTTTATTCAGTTTAGTCACATGATTTCTCAATTTGCAGTACATTTGCCAATCGGTTGTGCAGCCAGACTTATTTGCCATTCCTTTTGCCTCATCCCTCTCAACCATACCATTTTTCAATTCCTCATCAATCCATGGGGATTTAACAGTTTTTACAGTCATCTTCTTAATGGGTGCATTCTTATTAGTAACTGAAATAAGCAATTTCATAAATGTG